ATTTCTATTGGGAAACAATCATCACCAACAAGGAAGAGGGGAGAGAGTGGGGGAACCTGAAGGGCATGGATGGGAGTCTCCGATTACTTATACGGCCACCCAGACCTGTCCGCTGAGAGAATCCAGTTTGTTCCCCAGGGAAATTCTCTAGAGATACTGCGGCTGGACGATCAACTCGCCGGGATGGAGGGCAAGCAGACAATGGCACGCGGAGGCGTCAGTATCATCTTCTCGTCCAACTCGTTTTACGCGGTGGATTCCTCGCGGGGAGACTCTCTAAACGGAAATTAAAAATACATAAAAATAAAAATAAAAATGAATATTCAAGAAAAAAAATAATAATAAATAAAAAGAGGGACCTTTCTAATCCAGGGAACTAAAGAAAAGGAAAAGGGAAAAGAAAAGCAAATAACAGAAAGGAAAGAAAAAAGAAAATCCCAACTTGGGGGGAAAAAAAAATTAAAGTGAGTGTGTGAGGAAAGAAAAAGAAAAGAAGCCTAAAATGGACTCCAAATGCGAGTGACTGACTGCAACTTTCTTTTTCTTTTCTTTTTTCTTTTTCCTTTTTTCCTTCGCCGTAGTCTCCAAGCGTCATCATGGGACTCACAGTATGTATGAGCTTCATTTTAGTTCCTCGGACGGTATAGGATCCCTCATGTCCTTTCTCATCACCTCGAGTACCCCTCTTACGACTGGGGCAACCGGATCTCTTTCCCATTTCCCCTGATCGTTCGTTTATTTTGACGGACCATTCAGCTGGAAAGTGGTGGATATAGCACATCCATCGCCGCCTCCACTACATGCACTATGTTTCTCGCCAGCATCATCATTACGAAAGGGTACGAGGTACGGCCCGGGAATTTTCTTAAAAAAATAAAAGAAATAAGGGAACCACAAAAAAGCCTAATGCCTTTCCACATGGGCAGGAAGGCGGAGCTAATCGGGGATCTTGGTTGAGTCTGAGGGAAAGAGGATCCAGCAGCAAGGCTCCTGGGACCTCTCAGACTCTAATTCTCTGGGACCTTTGGCTTAGTGCCTTGCGCCTTTGGGCCCGATAAGGTTGGTGACCAGTTCCATGGGACCAAATTAGCCCCATCCAGCTAACCCAGTGTCTATCAATCATTCCAAATTCTCCCCTGTCCAATGACTCCAATATCCTGGAGCCCCGAGACGCCGGTCTCCCCAAGTGGGTTTCCGAAAGGTTATATGATGATGTTGTTGGATGATCGTGAGCGATTGACGAACCATACTATCGGAACAAGTTTGTGAGTTTGGTGGGAGAGCTGACAAAATCCAAGAGAGGCAAAAAAATAAAAATACATATTAGAAAAAGAAACAGAGAAAAGAGATCGAAATCTCAGAGTGAGGCGAAAAGGATCGGTGGCAGTCAATGAGCCGTCGATTATTTTATTACTATTTGATATTTTGTTACCAAATCCGTGAAAAAAAAAAAAAAATTTGATTTTTTGGTTGCGGGAAGAACCGCGAATTCGGGAGGGCTAAAAGGTTGACAGGACCCATGGAAATGGTATCAACACCACTAGCGAGCGTGCATTGACAGTCTTGTTTTTTTTCTGGGCAGAGGAAGAACTGTCCAGTGTCCACCCATGATTCTGAAGAGTTGGTAAAGGAAGAGATGGTCATCTCAGCAAATAGAGGGCGTCAAGACCTCACTCCCCATATACTACTAGTAAAAGAGGAAGAAGAAAAAAAACCCTGAAAATGATCGAGAAGGAGACGCATCCTTCCAGATCGTATCGTGCATAGGTATACTGCAAGTTGATGGAGAGATTGATCTCCATCCCAATTCAGACAGGTACATACGGTCTTGCTCATAGTCCCTGACTAAATGCCTATAGTCTCACACCTTCCGCACTGCTGGGAAAGGTCGTGCGCACCAGGTGGACCAATGGATCGGGACGGAGGGACCAGGGGCCGATCTGCAAATAGACATTGCTCCGCGTAGGGGAGATTCTTGACCTTTTCTTACCCTATAGGATCCACTCGAGAGCAAACGAATGGCCAAGGTCACTTCTGCCATTCCCTTTCTCTCGAATTTGATTTTCTCTATTTTTTATGTTTTCCTGCTTGTCTTCTTTTTCTTTTTCTTTTCCTTTTCTTTTTTTTAAAACTCTCTTATTTATTATTCTTTGAGATTGATTGATTGTATATGTACGTTTGTAGGTCTGTATATGCATCCATTCTGTACTGGGAGGAACAATCGGTCATGTGCCCTGCCCTAACGCTAAGTAGCTTCATATGAAACTCGTAGACGTCGTAAAGTATTCCGAGACCGGTGCTATAATATGGGTTAATTTATTTGAGATACTACGACTGGAGCACGGTATATCCCTCGTCAGCCTTGAATGGTTTCGAAACAATAAATAAATAAAATAAAATGAGGCGTAGTCCCCCACTCACGCTAACTTAGTTCATAATGGACACTTGTTTTTTTTATAAATTCATCAATTGTATTGGGCCAAACCAGTTGATTCAAATCATTCTCGATCCCCACGGTGGATTTGGCTCCATCCAGCTCGTGCCCATGTAGGTATGATGTATGTCCGTCATGTTGACTGCCCCAGTGGATCTATACGGAAGATTTCCGGTGAAGATGTATTTACGAAGTATGATCGGGATCGGCCGGACTTTTGGAAATGGATAGATAATTTTAGATGTCATAGTAGTCTGAATTGGTCGTGTACGGCTCATCCTCCTTTGCCCCCCAATTTGGCTGTCCCAATTCACATCCGATGCACGTCGTACCTACAGTCGAGGATGACTCTCACCCAGCCTGGCCACTAGATGTATGCGGATGCAGCATCATCCACTCCATAGGACGAGTATTTCCCACCTGGGAAATCGTTTGTCATTAGGTATTGCGATCTTTCCAAGGCAGGCAGCAACTGACTCGTTCGTCCTTGTTTTTCTTAGGACATTCAATTCAATAATTGGCCAAGACTTGGTCCCCGTGGGTCCAAATAAATAAATAAAAATAATTAATAATGAACTAAAATACATTGTCACAATGCGGTTATCGCGCGCAAGTATTCAGCAGCGGGGATCCCATGACCCCGTTGCTTCCGGTAAGCGACCAATGTATGGACAAGCAATAAGAAGGAAATTGGCATTCGACCTGGCCGATAGTGAAACTTGACCGTCTCTCCGCATGTGTCGATGTACATACATACTGAAAATATGTATTATGTATTCTGTATAACTCGAGTATCAGGTAGGACAATTATCCTATACAAGGTCTTCTGCTACTGCACGTAACCTTGAAATTCAGCGGCTCCTTCCAATTCGACGGGCCCGGAGCACATGACTATCCTCCTAAGCTACCGTGCATGAAGTCCATTGTACGTACCCTCCCGGCTGCTCCGTCATTCCTCTGGAAACCGTTCGCCCACCACTCGTGTTGGGTGAACGCCAGGGGAAGATCCCCGTCCGAGTACTTCAGAATGCACCTATTGTTCGGGAGCAATGGACGTCAAGCCGGCAACCCTGTCGTTGCTGACGAGCAGGTACAATAAGGAATTGTTTATTACCCCAGACTTGGCCAACGATTGTTCGAACCGTTCTCAAAACTGCTGCAACAGCCCTGTCTCTTCTATTAATCTATCTTATTTTTCTGGATTTCTACCCTACTTCAAATCCTTGCTTGCCCTGCAGACCTCGCCAATGCTAGACTAGTATTTGGGGCCTATATCATCTTCGGTGATGGACCACCAACTCCATAATTATCTGCCAGTGTATCTCACGATACCGCATTCCGGCGTCAGACCAGACAAGCTGTTCTGATTTGCCGCGTGACAGTATTTACAAACTCGGACCGTATCCCAATCAAAAGGATTTTCTAGCCCCGTTTATCATGACGCTTTGACACAGTGACGGGCGATGCTGTAAGTAAATCATACACTCATGCTGCATCGCTCTCTTGAAATATTGGGGACTTTGTATGAGCGCAAGCTGCAGCACACCTGGCTTTCCCGCGTCTACAGCGTGGCAGCGTGACGGCTGAGTCGTCTGAGTAACATGGATGTCAGCTCCCATGCTTGGCTATGAATTCCTGTCCGTGCTCAGTGCATGCGTGGCAGGGGAGCTGTTCGGTCGCTTGCCTGTGCCGATAGATGTGCCTCCCAGAAGAGTCCCTCCCCCCCGGATCACAGGTTCAACCCTGCAGTCGAGACGCTCTGATCCGCAACAAATGGAGCGCATCCGCGACAACTGATTCGGTAGTCCATGGCCGGGATTGCTTCATTCACCCGAGTTGGTGCAGGCTCTGTGTAACTACACTAATCAGATTCGATAAATGCCGGCATACCCCTATGTCTGCAATGTGCGCCTACGCCCGGGCCGTATTCGTCCGACATCATCAGACGAACACCTTTTGAAACTAAATCTCAATTGGCCGGGCTTACCGCCACATGATAGTGCACAGAAACTACCGCACTTGGGCTCGACTGTGTAACAAGCCTCCGTCAGTGCCCAACGGGCCATATCTGACCGATGGAGATGACGAGACTTGGCTGCCTTGGGGATGGTTCATGCAGCTTTCGCCTTTCATGTTCCTCCGGGCTTGCGCTCTATGTTCTGAATAATTCATTGTATGACACAAGGCAGTTCTTCCACTGTGTTACAGAACCTGGTGGTCGTGTTCGACTTGGCACGACTGCTGAGCCGGCCAGAATCTGAAACACGCTGATCCAGTGGCGTTCTTCCTTGATCCTCCAATAGCTATGTGAATGCTCTGTGCAACAGTATCACTTGTCCAGTAGTTCAATTGAATCAGACGAATTAACGCCAATAGCTAAGGGTACATGCTTGTCGCCGAGACCATGCAGTGTCGTATCTTGAAACGACCGCCATGACATCTGAAGAGATGCGTGCAATACAAAATATACATCGTCGAGGGTCACAAGGAAAGTGGAATAATACAGCAAGGAGAAGAATGAGAAAGAAGAAAAGAAGCTCCCGAGACAACAGGGGATAGGCCTGCTTCACCTCTTGACCCAGGTGGGCATCTTGCGGGCCTTGACATGACCAGGCTTCTTCCTCTCCACACGACGCGCATCCACCGTGATAACACCGGCTGTAAGATGACAGTCAGCAATGTATTCAATGAGCGGGTAGCAACACGCATATTGTACGCACCTTTACGCAGAACAGGCTTCAGTCCAGGCTCATGGACCAACAATGCCCGTGCCACGGCCAACGTAATGGCCTCGGCTTGTCCAGTAACTCCTCCTCCGCGAACGGTAGCCCACACGTTGTACTTGTCCAGCCTTGATGTGCATCTCAGAGGCCATGTAGCACTCTCTCGATCATGTAGGCGAGGGAACGCTTCCACCAAGGTCTTTCCGTTGACCATTACGTCTCCCTCTCCTTCAACCAGATGGACCACTGCCGAGGATGTCTTTCGCTTCCCTCGACCACGGGCCCGGCCCATCTCATCCACCGCCGCTGGCGCCGGCTTGTTCCCATACGGATTTCCAGGACGAAGAAAAGTTTTCAGAGTATCGCGCACTTCAATCGGCATGATCTTCGGATCGATTCTATTTAGTCGTTGTAAGATTTTGATCAGGTTTTTGTATTTCTTCGTCGGTACAGGTTCGCCGACAAAGTCGCGGAATTGTGTCAGTTTGAACCAGGCCATACGAGGAGCCTCACTAGGAGCAACAGTCGGTAATGAAGCCCATTTTGCTAGGGTAGTCTCCAGGTTCAGCAGGTGGTCGATGAATTTGGGGCTGCCGGAGAAGTAGGCGGGTGATGCAGGAACAATCCGGGCGGGTTGGGTATAGAACTTTGCAAAATCAATCTCGGGGGCCGCTTGCACCTCAGTCGCATATCCACGAGCGTTTCTCCGTTGTTGTGAGAGGATCGGGGTAACGTTAGAACGAAGGGCGACCTTGGGAGCATGGAGGAAAGGCCGCAGTTGAACGGTCCGACGGACGGACTGCATCGCGTGCACGATGCAATTGGGGCTCTGCCAGGCCATTGAATAGCTGCCTCCGGGCTGGCGGTAGCTTTACCTGAGAGTGAGAGGGTAAAACGAGAGAAGAAACGGAGCCGAGGAGGACTTTGGGTCACCGGCCAGATGCGACTTACCATCTCCGGCGATTCTTGTTTCCTGAGGTTTTTCGATGGGGACGCGTCACGTGGACGAGCAAACGTTCCTCCGGCGCCGACGCTTCCGTCTGATTCGCACAAAATTTCGTTCTTAAGTACCCCTCGAGCTGCTGTCTTCTTCCCCTCCTTCTTTTCTTTCTTCCTTCCCCCCCCCCCAGTCCTTCCATAGACAAAAGCTTTCACAATGGCCTTCGGAAAGATTTACGGTCAGCCTGTATGTGATCTTATCTTTCCTCTTCGGTTTCCTCTCAGGCATCATCAGCACTGATGATACTTTGCTGACGATCTGGTCGTCGTGGGGTTACCTTGGGGAACGTCCGGCTAATGGGTGACTCTACAGAACAACGGTCGCACCATCGCTGCCCTCGTCGCGGCTAAGGCCAACGACGTTGAGGTCGAGCTGGTTGAGACTGAGGCTAACGCCAACGCCGAGTTCAACAAGTCTGCTGAGTACCTCAAGCTCAGCCCCCTCGGCAAGGTCCCTGCTTTCGAGGGTGCCAATGGCTACACTCTCTCCGAGTCCATTGCCATTGCTGTCTACCGTATGTATTTTTTTTTTTTTTCTTGTGAAAAATCTCCCTCGATTATACTATCTCGTTTGCCCGCCGCTTTATATGATGAGCGAATTTTATTCCAATAAAATAGTTATCCCTGGCAGAACAACAGTGTTGATGAACCAAACTCTGAAATTTCTTTGATTACCCCGCATGTGTGTGGGCAATCTCTTCGTGGCGCCTTTTCATAAGCTCTTCACGCGTTTGAGTTGTTTTTTCTATGAACATAGCTAATTGTGACTCAGTGACCTCCCAGAATGAGAAGACCACCCTCTTGGGTAAGACCAAGCAGGACTACGCTTCCATCCTCCGCTGGTTGTCCTTTGTCAACTTCGAAGTTCTCCCCCGCTTCGGCGCTTGGTACCGTCCCCTCTTGGGCTTGGACGGCTACAACAAGAAGAATGTTGAGGAAGCTTCCAAGGTTGCTCTGAAGAACATCTCCGTTTTGGAGAAGCACCTCATTGCCAACACCTACCTCGTTGGCGAGCGTATCACCCTGGCTGATATCTTCGCTGCCTCTGTCCTCACCCGTGCCTTCGCCACTGTTTTGGACAAGCAGTTCCGTTCTGAGAACCCTGCTGTCGCTCGTTGGTACCAGACCATCGTCAACCAGCCCTACTTCAAGGCTGTTGTTGAGAACCCCGTTCTTGTTGATGAGGTCATCAAGTACACCCCTCCCAAGAAGGAGGAGAAGCCCAAGAAGGAGGCTGCTCCTGCTGCTGCTGCCGAGCCCAAGCCTGAGGGTGAGCAGAAGAAGCCCAAGCACCCCCTTGAGGCTCTCGGCAAGCCCGAATTCATTCTTGATGAGCTTAAGCGTACCTACTCTAACGAGGACACCCGTCCCGTTGCTCTCCCTTGGTTCTGGAAGAACTTGAAGTCTGACGAGTACTCCCTGTGGAAGGTTGACTACAAGTACAACGAGGAGCTCAAGCTCACCTTCATGGCCAACAACCTGATTGGTGGTTTCCACGCTCGTCTTGAGGCTTCCCGCAAGTACTTGTTCGGTGCCCAGTCTGTCTACGGTACCAACTACAACTGTATCATCCGCGGTGTCTTCCTGGTCCGTGGCCAGGAGTTCAAGCCCGCCTTCGATGTCGCCCCCGACTGGGAGAGCTACGACTTCGTGAAGCTTGATCCCTCCAAGGAGGAGGACCGCAAGTATGTTGATGACATGTGGGCTTGGGATGTTCCTGTCGTCGTCGACGGCAAGGAGTACCCCTGGGCTGATGGCCACGTCTTCAAATAAGCTAGTGCATTAGGTCCCGTGGCAAACTCATGATGTTACGTCCTAAATTTCTGGTTGTTGAGTGGCCTTCCTCATATTCGGCCTGAAAAAATTTCACTTCACTTTATACCCTAGGGTTGGAGAGTACTACGCCGCTGCACGCCTTGTGGTTCAGGTTTTCTGCATTGTGCCACCCGTACAGCTCTCTGCCCGATCCAAATCCCGTCTAATGTCCACCCTGTCCATGACGGTTAACGCTTTCTGAAAAAAAACTATTTGATCATGTCACGCTTACGAATTGAGATGCCGGATGATGCAGTAGCTACTATTTTAGCACTGAATAGCACTTTGTGCCCACTCAACTACTTCTGGTATTATTCGAGTATTACTTTTTGTAAACCTATAAGCTCCAGTAAAATGTATAGAATGTAGTTTGTTGGCCCGTGCTTGACCATGTCAATGTCCCCGGAATAATTGCAGTGCTAGGATTTTGCTGCTGCATTTTCTAGTCGATATGCTTTACCCAGCCGATAACAAGGCTACACCGATCGCAGAACGGAGAGTTGAACAGAATCGAAGGTAGTTCCCATACAAAGTCTTTAGTGGGGGTTTAACCCTATTTAACTATATAATACAAATAGAACTTTATACTGCCGGTAGGTGTACCACGCAAACGATTTCCATTGCAACCATATTATTCCATTCGTGGGTATCAAACTGCGCAAGCAAGTATATCTATCTATATATGTACTAAACATGCATGATTTAGAAGATGATGTCTCTAATGAACGCATGTAAATCACAAATCCGTCAAGATCTAGTCGGTTTTAACATTCAAAGAATCCTCTAATCGATCTAGGAGAAAATTCTCGGATTCGGCAGATGAAGTCGCGGGTGATGGTGACCGGTCAAGGGTCGGTTGCACGATGCCTGTTGCAGATTCAGTGGAGGAGATACCGGTAGTTGCTTCTGCTGGGATAGTGACAGTAGTGGCGGTAGTTTTATCTGCTTGATCTGTTGGGGAGGCGTTTTGTGCTTTCTTATGAGCTTTCGTTTCCGCTTTTGCCTCTAGTTTTTGCTCCTGTTTGCGGGCCTTGCGTTGCTCCTTGCGCCTTTTGCGCCTTTCTTTGCGGGCTTCTGCCATGGCTGTCGGCCCGGTTGGAATGTCTTGTTGGGAAGGTGGAGAGTGGGCGTCACCGGTGGTGTTATTGTTGTGATTCTGGTCGACCTCAGTAGTGCTGAGGCCGAGGTCAAGCTCAAGAATGCCTTGGTTTTCGGGTAACTCTAAGTTCCACTGATGGAGCACTTTGCTGACATCGTCATGTGTTGCTAGTTCGTCCAGGAGCTGCATAACCTTTGGAAATATTGTGGACTCATCGAGACCGGGCTGGTTGGTAAACTCTGGAATCTCAAGTATGTTGTATGGTTCACTGAGAGCCTTGAGTTTACTGTCGTCAATCAAGATCGTGTTGGACTGATCCCATCGGGTTTTCAACTGCGTACCATTCTGTGCGGCTTTGCGGCGTTTATTCTGAGAAGGCGATGGGTATGACGCTTGAATCTCCTTATTGCTCCATACTGTCTCTAATGTTTTGTAAACTTGGATTTTGGCCCGGTATTGGGATGACGTGAGACCGAACTTGTCACGACCCCATTCCGCAACAAGTGCCTTTCGTTTATTGCCCGGGAAGAGCTTGTCACAAACCGCCTTCACTGTGTTCGGCTGGGAACTGGACCAGATCATAACCTTGTATTTTCTCACCAAGGTATCCAAGAACTCGTCCAGCCCTGCCCTTCTGGAAAACACAGGGGGGAACCGCCGGTGCTTACGGTAGATTAGCGTACCATTCAAATCCAAGATGACCAGCAGTGGTTGGGGAGAAACGACCAATTTGGGCGGTAAGGTCGACTGCTCAATGTATGATCTGACAGGGGATGGAGGTTTAGGTGGCGGCAAAGCTTCATGCTTCGTTGCCGATGCTCCGACAGGTGGTTGACCAAGCGTATCTGGGATGTTGCCTCCAGCAGAACCAGCTGCTGTAAAAGCCATCGGATCAAAGGGCAAGGACGGAAATCCACTTAAGAGGGGTCCCGCCATCGCGGGATTTTGTAGACCAAAGTTCATCATGAAGGGAGGTGGAGGCATGAGGGAGAAGAAATTCAGAGGATTACTCATGTCATTCAGCAAAGCAGGGTTAAACGGTCCAAACGCAGGTTGATTGGAAGGCTGTGATTGGGACTGCTGGTTCGAGTTATTTGGAGAAAAGAACGGAAATTGAAGTCCCTGTTCATTGAAAGCCATCCCGCTTGGACCTCCAGGGAATACGGGCATATTGAGGTTTGGATGACTGCTAGAAGCATTGTGGCTCGCTCCCATGTGGGTATTGTTCTGTGAAGAATACGACTGCGAGACTGATGGTGCTGGGCGAACAGGGAACGGCCCTTCCGGACGAAACTGATGCGCCTGTGTGTCTGCGTTCAAATTTCTGTCCGCCGATACCTGGTTGCGCAGCCTGCGACTCCTCCGCGGGTTGCCAGGCGCAACTCTCTCAGGGGCCTGCACCGCTGCTCTTCCCGGGTCATTGCGAGTCACCGTCTTCGCATTCCAGCGACCTCGATATGGTCTCCATGATGCCCGAAGGTTGTTATTTGCATCTCCCTGGGTTTCACCGTAGCCTGAACCATTCTCTGCAACAGTAGACCAATTGTCTCCTTCAGCTGTCTGTTGCTCCATTCCAAGATTGGGGGATATTTTGGTGTTAGCCAAAGCTGGTGATTGTTTCTTCCGATGGGACAAATGTGAAAGCAATGTCGAAGTAGAAAATGGCGCCGATACAGACTTCGGGATAAACTATAGAGGTCAGTTGTTTATCAAACAAGACAAGAAATACGCCGATGCACCTTAGAGGAAGCCCCACTTTGAAACATGCGAACATGCACTGCGGAAAGTGAGGAGGGTAGAGCTGGAGTGAAAATATAGGAGAAGGTGGCCGTACATGAGCGGCATCCCATGGGCACACGAACGAGGTGATACAGCCAACAGAAAGGTGTAAGAGAGCAAACGAGAATGCGATGAAACTGATGGCGAAATGGAAAATCGCGGCCAAACGGTCCAGATCCACCAACGAGAGCGAAGCTACTTTGCTCACCGCCTTAACGACCGGCAGTATCGCTGCATTTTTTTTGCTTCGACTTCACCGCCATTGATTGGGCTTCTATTGATACACTTGCTTCTTGGACCCTTAGCTTTCTTTTTCTTTCTTTGGGTCTGTTGTAATACTCGGAAAGAACTATTTTCAAAATGGCGATCTCCGATCTCCTCAACCGTCGCGTGCGCGCTTTGCCGGAGGAAGATGAAGAAATTTATTCGGAAGAGTCAGCATCTGAAGAAGGAAGCGGTGATGGACACTCAGGTGAATCGGATTCAGGTTCAGATGATCTTGACAACGAAGCATTGGAGCAGACTGATGATGATGACAACGTTCGTTGCAATGTCCCTACTCCCTGGCCTACATAACGCCATTCTGACTTTCGCAATAGTCTGAAGACGACGCGCCCGTCAACTCAGAAGACGACGAAGACAGCGAAGACGATGATAATGGAGAAGACGATGTTCAAGCATCCCTTAGTAGCATATCCTTTGGAGCCCTCGCCAAAGCACAAGCGTCCCTCGGTCCGAAAGCCAAGCGCCATGCAAAAACTGCCAAACCTACAGAAGAATCCCCGCCGACGACATCCCCGCTAGACGACATCAGAGCGCGAATTCGCGAGGCACGGGAGCAGAAGCGTCAAGAATCAGGAAAATCTAAGGACTCGGTGAAACCTGCAAGGAGTTCGAAACATGCCCCCATGGTCCAATCATCCAAACGTGCCGTTTCGCGCAAGCGCACTGTTGTCGAACCCCCATCAGTGCCCAAATCACGAGACCCACGGTTTGACCCGACGGTGCTCAGTCAAGGCGGTCGCCATGATGCTGAAACAGCCAGGAAAGCATACTCGTTCCTAGACGATTATCGTTCTTCAGAGCTGAAAGAGTTAAAGGCCAAGTTCGCCAAAACAAAGAACGCCGAGGAGAAGGAGGCTTTGAAGCGTGAGATTCGGTCCACGTCGGATCGTCTACGTGCAATTGAGAACAGGAGGCGAGAAGAGGAGGTGATGGCAGAGCATAAGAAACGAGAGAAACAGCTCATCCGCGAAGGAAAGAAGAGCAACCCATACTTTTTGAAGAAATCCGATCTCAAGAAGCAAGTAATGCTCAAGAAATACGAGAATATGAATTCGAAGGAACGCACGAAGGCCCTGGAAAGGAGACGGAAGAAGATTGCCTCTAAGGAAAGGAAAGAGATGCCCATGGAACGCAGATTGGGCAACGAGGGCAACGATGACGGTGGCAGGAAACGGCGGCGGATGGCGTGAGACAATCCTGACAGCGTTACTGCAGTTCTGTTCATGCACTCTCGTATAATAAAATTAGTTTTTCGCCGGCCACAGCCTTCAGCACGACTCAATTTTGTTCTGTTTACGCGTTGCAACTTTGAGGTTGTATGTACTTCTCTGTATATGTATAAACGACTACACGCAAACCGGCCTGTACATCGCTTAGAGCAGCAAGTTTAGTTACAGTTTTGCCTTTAGACAAACATCACGGTATTAGTTATCATTAAGTGGAAGGACGCATGTCCTTGCCGGAAGTTCGCACGAACTCGTTCCAAATCCGACACCCTAGTCGTAAATTCAAGATATCCAAGTGAAGAATGGGGATCATAAAGAATGTAAGAGCATAAATCATCCAAAGGGGATGTGAAGTCAAAATAGTAGAGCGATCAAACAATGGTATCCCAACGCGACATGAGAAATAGAGCAATGTTAAAAGAGTGCGTGGTGGCAGAAAGAAAAAACCCATGCCTTCAAAAACAGGCATCCACATGATTCTCACATGGTCTTGGCAAAATCAAAAGAAACCCTAATAAATCACAAGGAAACGCCTCGCAAGTCCATTGAAAGGCTGCCCACTCAAAGCACCTTTCAACTCAGACTTTGGATGGTATAAACGTGAAAAGAAAAAAGATATAAAAAGTGCAGAAGAAAACTATAAAATAAATGGTGAGAATGACGAGAATGAAAATGTCAAATCACGGCGAAAGGGCAACGTCGAAAACGACCTAATCCCCCACCGGTTAGGATGACATCCTGTTCATGCTGTTCGTATAGATAGTCATGTATATTCATCATGCCCAGGTGGCTGACACCGCTCATTATAAAGATACACCCGAGGAGCGGTTGTTGTAATATCTACTAGTCCCCAGTCGTCAAACTAAAGTATCACATTGCTGCGGACACAACAGACACACAGAGCAATGGTCTCCCGTCTGAGTTAGTGGACATGAACCATAGTTGGACCGTTTCGAAGAGTACTGAAGACGACCGGCCGTGATAAACAAGAAACTTATGAATGAAACAGATCCCATGCTCTTGCACATAGTGCCAGGAACTCTTCTTTCTTTCTGCGCTGGGTCTCAGGAGAGTCTCTGCCGGCTCCGAATGGGCCATAAGTAGCCCCCGCGGAGGGTGCTACCGCTGGGTTTGGCCGGTACTGTGGTTCAGGACCGTGGCCCAGGGGAGGACTTCCGTTGTCCTGCTCGTACTCACTTCTAGTGCGGCGACGAGCGGTCCTCTCGGAGGGATACATGGGTTGGGAAGAGGGGACTTGTGCATTGTGTATCGGTGCCGCTTCGGGATGAACTGCTGCGGACTTCGGTTGGCCGTTGACGGCACGTGGGGATGGTGGAGTCGGGGGCTGATGGCCCCCATAGTGCACGATGCGTGGCAGCAGGTCCTCCCGTCCACCCGACAGCTCTTGGACAGCCTCCTCCGCCGAACGGTATTCCCGTGGTCGCTTAGGAACCTGGGTGGCGGTTCCCGGGATTCTAGGAGATGGTAGTGGCGGTAAATTGTTTGACTGGGAAGAGTTGGAGTTAGATGCATTCTGGTAAAACGGCGCGCGGTTTACGTCCCGCTCACGGGAGCCCAAAGCATCAGAGCCGAAAACATCGGAAAGTGGAGGAAGCCGATTGTTCGTTTGGGTAACAGGGATATGGTGAAGATGAGACGTCGATGCTAATGTAGGACTCTGATTGGCAACTTGGCGTGTTAACGGCTGCGGTTGGTGTCTGCCGGTAAAGGTCTGGTTCAATGGCGCGGATTGGATGACACGTTCATGGGCAAATTGTGCTGCAGAGGGCGGAACGATGGAGAGGCCTGGGGGAGGCCTCCGTTTCGAAGCACTAGCCTTGGGGAGGCCGAACGAGGATTCGGATGGCTTTATTCCGTCTGGGCCGTCATCCTTGGCGGACCTTTGCAACCGTGACTCAATTATCGACCTCTGCTGGTCTCTCACTGACAGACTTCTCTGTAATTGTTCTCTCATAATTGGATCGTGTGTCTGGAAACCCGGCGATAGGCAAGCGATTCCAACCTGGTGCATATTGACACCCTCCCGGGCCGTCATAGGGCCACCAGGAGCGCGGGCTGATAAACCACCGGAGGTCGGAAGACTCGTTGATAAATCTAGTTTCCGCGGTCGAGGCCGAGAGTGGGACTGCATGGCAGGCGAGGACGGGGGTTCTTTCTTGACGATAACCTTGGGGGCAGTACTTCCGTTTTGCGACCTGATCAACCGTTAGCTTCTCAACCCAGGCGATGAATTTGGGCCTTCGGAAGATGCTTACGCAGGCGATGTTTGTTTTCTTCCTGCGGGTGAACTCTTTGATGATGACCCATCCCGAGAAGGCCCCGAAGGCCTAGGCGGAGTGCAGGTAGACTGGCTACCAGCTGTGGGAGCCAACGTCGGGCAATTTTTGGGGCTCGGATCGCGATTCATGTGCGAAGATGTCAACGGGGCAGCTGTGGCGGGAGCGACTGCAGTAGACATGTTCGCAAGATAAATGCGAGGGTATATACTGGAAAGGAAGATTCGAGAGTATTTCGTCGATGCTGAAAATCCACAACTCTCCACTTCTAACGATGCATTCAAGGCACGCCTTATACCGTATATAAACCACAAACTCTCTTATAGCTGGGACGACTGTGCCACCCACGGTCTATCCGATGCTCTAGAACGCCCAGCGAAGCGTAGCGGGCAAGGTGTCAAGCTTTGTTGTGCCAGGCGCCCGGCGATTGATAGGGTAGGATGAGGCCGAACGAGATAGCGCGCAAATTCTCCAAACTCGGCAGTGTCGGCGGCTATATTCTAAGAACGATAGAGCCCTGAAAACGAAGGGGTGGCGACAGCTCTAGGAACAATTCCAACCCGAAACCAAGACGACAGCGACAATGAATCGCGCACGGCGACAGAGGGAGGAGGGTGGGAGGGGGCCAACAAAAAGTGGCACACAAGCAGCTGTTGGTCAAACAGTTCGGGGGTGGAACTGTGACGAGGTGTGGCCGGATGCTTGGGAACAGCGGTTAACTAACAGTAGTAGCAGCTGGGCGGCAGTGCGGCGACTCTGAGAGGTCGGTTGGAGCGGGAGAACGATCCAGAGCAAGCGAGCGAAGGGAATGGGCCGGGATGTCGACAAGGCTGGCCCAGCGATACGCAAGTGACCGAAAAAGGGAGGTGTCGAGGGTAATTCCACCTCCTTTAGGTAGAAATACAGGAAT